CCTGGAAATTTTGAGAGGGCATTGTCATATGATTTTGAAAAATTTGGGGGGTACAGATACTTATGACCGCTACTGTACAACCTAACCTTTGCTACGACTCTGCTCTATCTCCCAACCCCAACATATGTCGTAATGCATTCGAATTATTCTCTGCAGTACTGCCTCCATATAATATAGCTCCTGCCATTTACTAAGCTCTTTTCTGCGCTTCTCCCAATGCCTATGTTTGTAATGCATTCCAACTATTCTCTGCGGTACCGTCTTCATTACTACTACGAATTCCGTAATGTCTCTACGATCCAGCTCTGCCCAACTAACAACATCCCAACTGCCTCTCTCCCTCTTGCAATATAGCACAAACCAGTAACAGCATTCAAACTCTTCTCCCCGTTGCTCCTCTATCCTCTCAATAAACGTGTGTCACTTACCTTGCTTACCGAGAGTTCCGAGGAATTCGGCATAACAATCCGTAGTCACTCCGGGGTGGTTGCGATGATGTTTAGTGTAGAAGACTTTATATTCTTTGTGTGCTGCTCTGATCTCCTTTCCAGTTGATTCTTGATAGTCTTCTTTGTATTTAGCACCGAAGTTATATGAGTCCAGTGAGTAGTTCATGGTTAGACGTTTTTCGTATGTTAAATGAAAGATAGCGTTAAAAGAAGAGTCGCGGTCTGTGCCCGCTAAACTCAGCCCTGTATATACGCTTTACTTACACAAACATGGGATACTTATCCGTATTGAAGCGCCAAATCAACTATGGCTACCGGGTCCAGCACACTAGAAGTTACGTAGCGTAACGATGCATCGAGTATTCACTTTGAGAAGAGTTACCGGATTTTTTGTGGCTGTATGGCTACCGCTAAATAATAGTCAGATTGCGATTTTTTGTTCGATAAACTTTAATGCGTGAAGTGAAGGAATAAAGCCTGATCGATTGTTATTCGTTGGTTTGGATGTTTGATTTTATTGAGCGAACGCTTTTATAATGGTTTTTGTTGCCCAAATCTCCATTGTACAGAAACATTTTATATATATTCAAACTTGCCATTAGCAAACTATAGCATTGGTCCTTTAGATTTTGTTCTAAATTTAGATATGGATTGCCAGTATGATGAATTCATACGACTATAAAAAATAATAACTACAACTTTAGATTTATTCGTAACATTGTTCCTTACGCCGAGAAGTAATAAGTTATCAGCGATCACAATATATGTTATTAGTAAAGATTATCTACCCTCGGAGATTATTTACGTAGTGATAAGATTGTCCACTAACAAATCATAAAAAAACTAAATAGATTAATTCAAAGAATTGTCTAGGCATGCAAGTGTCATTGTTTTACAATACGGCCTGCTCCACAATAGCTTATTTGTACTAAGGTGATTTTTTGTTCCGGGTAAAATAACTGTATATAAAAATCAAAGTAAAAAATGTTACCAGCCCTCAGGGATAACAAAATAAAGTCTAAATCAGGAATACTTTAGGTGGTTTTATTCCTTTTTCCTCTAATGTTTGGAAAAATATATGTGTCGTTATCTATTGTTTATAATATATTTTACATTTATTTTTCTGGCTTTGAGTGATAGATTCACAAGAAGGTGGGATTAAAATACTGTGCTTCTATTTCTAAAAGTTGCCTTTGGAATCTAACCTGCAATTGTCTCTTTTTAGAATCTATCCAATTATCTGGAATATAATATTCTTTATATTGACTATTAATAACAAAACTGTATATAATTGAATTGTTTTTGTATAATTCCATTTATTTAGTACACCATTGATTAATTGTTCTCGAGTCTAAAGAATTTTTACTTGATGCCAAGTTAAATTTAGAAACTTTTCATCATCAGAAGTACCATCATTTTTCATTGCATTCCAAGCTTGGGTTGCTAATGATTCAGATCTATTTTTATAATTTTGATAAACTATTTGTATAATTCTTGATTTTCCAAAATCGGTCTTTGGTTTATTACATTCATAATCCCAATGTTTCTGCAGGATGTGTTGTTGTTTCATCTGTTTTGAAGTCTAAATCTGACCATGTGAGCATATTTAGAATTTGATTTAAAAAAAAATTGAGGGTTGTTGGAGTTATATTGTAAGTTTTGTTTTTTGATAACTCTTGATTGTTATTTTTTTGTATAATGTTCATTTAATTTTGAGATAGTGGATGAGTTGTAGAGATATTTTTTGTAACTGTATTAAAAGCTGCAACTAAGGATGGGTCTCTAAATTATTTAACATATAAAATTTTGCAGATCAATTATGTCCCTTTTGAAAGGACATGATTATTTATTCATTACTTTAATAGGGACATAATTCAAAAAACACTTGGATCGAGTAGCCTAAATTGCAAAAAAACCTTTGTAGAAGGTTTTTTTTTGACCTTATATTTTTTTAAAAAAACCTTTTTAATAGTAAGGAACATTTGAATTATGTCCTTGTCTTTAATTTAGGGACCTATCTTTAGCTGCAACAATTTGATTTATACTGTTCTGCATATTATCTAATAATAAGTAGAGCTGTATTTGGCAGTCTCTAATATTTTCAATGTTGTTATCTGTTGATTGTTAAGTTTATTGTAATTGAGGTTGAAGCAAAGGACTACTTATTGTATTATTGGGTTGATCACTATTCATTGTTTTATAATATTCTTTATTGTAGTATTTTAAATTGATAATACATTCATTATTTTTTGCAAGTTGTATTTTTATTGTTTGCATTTCATAACAAATTATTCTGGAGAGATTAGAAATTTCTGTAAGTAATTGTAGATTTTCCTAAAGGATAAGTTTTTATTAGAAATTTTATTATTTTTAAGCTCAAAAAATTGTTACAAACTGTACTGATATAGGATTCAGCTTTTGTATTTCTTTAAGATTTGGATCTATTGAGATTACATATTATTGTTATTTTTTCTGATCTAAATTTGTTGTAGAAAGTGTTGAATTTGAAAGCTTGTTCATTGTTATAGTTGTTTTATTGTTTCCATTTGTCCTAATTGAACAATTTTTAGCAAGGTATAAAGTTGCAAATAGTATATAGTTTAATAGAAATTAGTATAAAGAAAAATTCAATTTTTCTTATAATATATATGTTTTGTACTGTCTTAAGAAGATTTTTTTATATATCAAAACTGGTGATTATGAATCTTTTAAGTTTGTATAATGTTGTTGCAGTTCTTGGAATGTAATAAGTATATTTCTTACATTGTGAAAAGATATGTTTAAGATCTTAACTAAGATGTTTGAAGAAAAATTAGTAAGTTTGACAATGATTTCAAATCTTTGTTTTATTTAAGTAAATGACTATTCTGCATTATTAATTTTAATAAAATCTTTTTTGATATGTGTATTTCTAAGATTTATAAATTTGTCTTAGTTGTTTTGTCTATAAATTAAAGATAACATATTGTTATGAGTTTTGGGCTTTTATGGTAACACCTTGGATTTTTTTATATTGATAAAGTCTTATTTTACTTAAATTAATTTTATATTTGGAAATATGTTCTATACTATGATTAAGTTTTTTTTATTAATTTTTTTATATTCAGTTTCTAGGTGCAATAGTCTTATATTGTTCATATTAGATAAGTTGTTAGTAGTGTTATGTTAAAAAACTTGCAGATCACGAAAAATAGTATTAATTTTTATGTCTTTGCTTTTTCTTTACTTTATATTATTAGATGGCTTTCTAAAGAGTTAAAAGTTTATATGTTTGATTTTTTTATAAATTGTTTGCCTTTAACTAGGTTAGCAAGAATATCCATTTTGTATCTTTATTTGTCATATTTGATTGATTTGTCAAAGAATAAGTTAGGTTTTAATTTTTCATTGTTTGTAAAGAATTTTTTGCTTTTGTCTTTTTCTGTTATAAACCTAATAATTTTTGAGTCTTTGTAGGCTTTTATATTTATTTTCTTATCTGTATTAGTTATTTTTAGCATTTTGTATCTAGTATTATTTGTTTCTTTCTTTTGAATTAGTTGGTTATGCTTTTTTTGTTCTTTTTCTTATTTATTTTTTTGTTTTTCCAAATTACTTCATAATGAAGTTATAGTTGTTTGACTGTTTTGTTCTGATGGTTCTGATATTAAATTTGAATATTTTTAATGTATTAATTTTTATAGTAGTTCAGTTTATTGATTAGTAGTTAATTATTAAAAGTAGCTTGAGTCTTATTAATGTTGAGATTGAATTTTTTTGTATATAATTAAGTTTTCATGAAGTATTATCTTTGATTGTTCTTTTTTCATATGTAAAAATATATTTGTTCTTTTTAAAGAGTTAGATAGAATATTGAAGCTTTTATTATAATCAGGTATTTTTTTTGCTATTTTTTTAAGTATTTTCAAAAATAAAATTTTTGAGATTTGAAGTGGTTATAGGAAAAAAAATTTTTTAAAGCCTATAACAATATAAATAATATTTTTTATTTTATTTCTTAAAATATTATTTTTATATTTTTGTTATTTTTTTCTATATATTATAACTGTAATCAGTAAGTATGTCACTAATAAAAGCTAGGATTTGCATAACATTAGTTAGTTAAAAATAATATTTTATTAGAAGTAAGACAGATTTAATGTTGATCAAAAAAACTTAATTTTCTTTATTTAATTTCTTCCTCCTTTTATGTATTTATTTGCATTCATTATATAATAAAAATAACAAATACAAATCTAGTAAAACTATAAAAGATTCTTATGCCAATGTAATTATTATTTAATTTTCATACTATTCTTATTATATAATTTTATTAATTGATTTTATAGTTCTAGGATCGATCCTTGTATGACCTGGTTATATGGCAATCATTGCAATTGTATTGTGATCTGACTTCTAACAGTTGCCATTTCTTTAGGTTTGTGCTAGTTTTCTATTATACCTATTGTATTTAATATTATTGATTTTTATACAATATTATGGAAACTCAGAATTAAATATAAGACATATTACTTTTCCTATATTACAATATATACAGGTTAAATACAAGAGAAACAAACAGCGAATTTAAATTATATTAAAAATAATATCAAGTAACTATAAATATTTACTTAAAATTATATATAAAAGACTTAAAAAAAAAATAATAATAATTTTTTTATACAATAAGGTTATTAAAAAAACTAAATAATATTTATAATATCTTTTTTTGATAATTATTTAAATGTTTGTTATAATCAAAAACAGATACAATTTTTTAAGATTTTGATATCTAAATATGTTATTTTGATGATTTTATCTTTTTAAAATACAATGATACTTTTAAAACAATCAAATTTATATTTCAGATATATAATAAAATTAATAATATATTTATTAATTATATATATTATTGTAATTTAATATATGTTATATTCAATTAATCAAAAATTAATTCCAAATTTAGTTAGGCTGCATAAAGATAAAACCTCTAATTTTCTCAAAATTATAAATTAAAAATAGATCAAAGCAAAAAAGGTTATATAAAAAAAGACTTCTGATTTAACTCTTATTACAAGTTTATATTTCTTCAGGCATAACAAATTCTATAGCAAAAAATATATTAATTCAATTAGGCAACTTTCAAAATGATTATTATAAAAATACAAACATATAAATAATATTAGA